TAATATTGGAGTTGATTTGCTGTAATTCGAATCTGGTACAATCAAGAATCAAGATAATAAAAAAATAAGTAAAGTGTAAGAACTGAATTCTACCGAAAACTAGAAAATAAAAAAATACACAGAAAAAATAAAATAAAGATTTTATCCTCCATTTTTTTCGTTGTGGTCTTTCATGTGAAAAAAAAACTTCCAAACGCTGATTTAAAATATTTTGATGCTTTTCATCAAGATAAGGTGATTATTTATCAAGCACATTCTCATGTTGAGAATTTTTTCGAGATTTTACTCAATACCGTGATAAAAATCCACATTATTTGGAATTTATAACATTAGGAATCGAATTCATTCTTCATTGTTTACACGACACGTTCCTCAAAAATGCATAATTTTTCCCAAGAATTTGTCATTGAAGTAAACGTACTTAAACAAGTTTCCTCACAAAAAATAGGGTACCTTGCCAAGTATTTGGACAAGATACTACAGGGTTATTTTTTATATAACCCTTATGGGCTACAAGTTTGGCTTTCCAGAAAGCCTGAAATGTCATCTCTTTGGTATCAATAATGTCAAAGAAATAAAACAGAAAGGGAAATATTTTAATGCAATGAATATACGGATTATTACACCTGAAGTTCCCAAATGACTTATTCAGCAAACTCCACAGTAAAGTACGCAGTTTCTATTGGCTGCAGCATATATATGGAAAGCATAGACGTCTGCGAGAGCACCCAAGGCTATTTTTGGTGAAATTTCATTCTAGCGGTCTTTGTGGTTCTGAGTGTTTACAATTTACTTAAATTCAAATACTTTCCTTGAACTATATTTTCTTAACACAATATGGAATTATCAACAATAATTATCATTCATTTAAAAGCAGCTAATCATTAAAGTTTGACAGGAATTAATTTAATAAATCCAATTACAGACTAAAAAATTAACATAAGATTAGCGTTGACCACTCTTCATTCATTTTTTGCAGAATCTAATTGTAAGCTTGTTCTTTTGTGCGAGAACCAGTTTTCCCTTCGCGTCAACAAATCTATATATAGAAATCACGTCATTGTCAATTCTTTTGTGGCTTACCCATTTAATAAGGCATAGTATTGAGGATCAATATATATACGACACACCGAAACTATAGATATCTATAAGCATCGTACTTCTTTTCTAAATTTTCCTTGGCTTTCAAATAGGCCTAAACCGAAAGTAGATCACACACTCCTAAGCTAGTTCTTCTAAAAGAAAACCAGTTTACAGACTACTTGGAACTCTGTAAAACATCGAGGACTCCCGATAGATAAATGGAGGCTTACACCAGGACTTCACTTCCGGCATACAATCTTAATGTGGTGAATGCTAGTTCAGATCATTTACAGGGAGGTCGCTTTTCGAAACACCTCTTTTTTTTTCATTTTTCGTTCGGGCTCGTGGTACAATACTCAATGAATGTATCGAAGTACGGTTGTATCGAGTTAAAAAAACGTTTTATAATTAAATATCATGATTTGTGGACATAGGTCCACAATCAGAACGAAAAATTAAGGTCGATTGAAGTTCCGATTGGTCTTTATATACATAAAATAGAACAAATTATTTTTTTGTGTGCAGTATAATACTCACACATCAATGTTCATGTTCATTGCATAATGAAAGAGTTCACCAAATAAACGAGGATTTCAGGTTTCTGCATGATTGTAAATTATATCACACCCACCCCTTATAACTATTAAATAGGCCAATAAATATGGTGAATATAAATAGAATATTAATAAACATGATAAAAGAAGAAGGAAAGATGTTTCTTTTTTTTTTTTGGAGGGGGGTATATAAATCAAATACATGACAACAAAAAGTAAAAGGAATGTTGGTTAATTACTTTTTTTTCTTTTTAATTGATACTCTATGGAATTTTTATTTAATGTATTCGTCGAATAATGCCAGTCTCAACTTAATTATATAAGTTCACTTTGTTGTAGGTACAACGACAGCAAAGAAAAATATTAGGGACTGGATTTAGTCAGATAATATAAAATTAATATATAATTATAATATATTTATCATATTATAATCAATAAATACGTGGGTTGTCCCGTAAAATCGTGGACAAGTTGTCTAGTGTGAAAAATAAACATCACTGCGTTCTGAAATTTTCACGATTATTTAGTACATATTTTAGTAATATACACAGCAAATTTCAGATAAATATATGCATAAATAAACAAATTATGAGATTTTATGCCATGTATTGTATCACCTTACTGCGCATGGATTATAACGTCAAAGTGTCTAAAACAGCGTCACGTTTTATCTTTGCTGAAAATGAAGTTGGATGAGTCCAACTTAAATTTAGGAATTTCATTGATACACATTCTTTAGTTTCCAAAAACAGTCGAAGAATCAATTGGCACCCTCATGCGATCTTCTGAAGATTTATTAGTAAGTTACGGACAATATTCTCACCATCATTCAACTAATAGAAAATCTCATATCGGCGGTCTACTGTGACACATAGTGACAGCCTTTTTTGCTATTACATTAGGAGTTTGTCCGTATGTTTTGTACTCCCCAGGGACTCGATCAAAAAAAAACTTCACTAAGAAAACTCCTATTTCATTTGTATACTTAAGATATGGTGATATTTTTATAATATTTTTTCTTCTATTGTAATTTCAAGTCTCTAAAGAAGTCATTAAAACATCGAAATAAAACTGAACTGTTCTCCGGTGCGCCGTAACGTCATAAAACATCGCAATTTTTCGTGTGTTGTGTTTACCACTTGCTCGAGAAACTGCCAAAAATTAACTAAATGCCTTAAAAGTTTTACAAAGACTACAAAATTGATTGTGAAATTGAATTAGGATAATTTTAATCCAAATCTTATGCTTTTAAAACTTTTATTTTGAATTCAAACTTGTGTATTCTTTAATAAAACCTTGGTATTTTGACCGTGCGCCGTAGGACAATACCCCGTGCACATTCAAGCATAATAAAATCTTTATTTTTGCCTATATTTTATCAAAATATTATCATGCACTTAAATATGATAAATAAACATTTACTGAAATTTTCAGCTTAGTGCGCCCATTACTTTTAGAGAAAAACGTTTTGTCCACGATTTTACGGGACAACCCTCGTAAATCCACAAAAACTGAAAAACAATACCAATCTTATTTCTTTATTTCAATTTTGTGAGTGTGTGTGCCATTGGCAACTAAATATAATATCAAATTGCAAAAAAAAAAAAAAAAAAAAAAAAAAAAACAATTAAAAAAAAAAACAAATAAAAACAAAACAATTAAGGATAGAATTTCTATATTGCAACGGCATGTTGTCATACATGTGACATTGTCATAGACCTACATCAATATTATTTATCAATTCAGATCAGGTACAGGTAGGTTAATACACATACAGACATTGTCATAGACCTACATCAAATACTCAGTTATTTCAGATCAGGGACAGGTAGTAAGCACACATACAGACATTGTCATAGATCTACATCAAAAACTCAGTTATTTCAGATCAGGTACAGGTAGGTTCACACACATACAGACATTGCCATAGACCTACATCAAATACTCAGTCATTTCAGATCAGGTACAGGTAGGTAAACACTTATACAGACATTGTCTTAGACCTACATCAAATACTCAGTTATTTCAGATCAGGTACAGGTAGGTAAACACACATACAGACATTGTCATAGACCTACATCAAAAACTCAGTTATTTCAGATCAGGTACAGGTAGGTAAACACACATACAGACATTGTCATAGACCTACATCAAATACTCAGTTATTTCAGATCAGGTACAGGTAGGTAAACACACATACAGACATTGTCATAGACCTACATCAAAAACTCAGTTATTTCAGATCAGGTAAAGGTAGGTAAACACACATACAGACATTGTCATAGACCTACAACAAAAACTCAGTTATTTCAGATCAGGTACAGGTAGGTAAACACTTATACAGACATTGTCATAGACCTACATCAAATACTCAGTCATTTCAGATCAGGTACAGGTAGGTTCACACTCATACAGACATTGTCATAGACCTACATCAAATACTCAGTCATTTCAGATCAGGTACAGGTAGGTAAACACACATACAGACATTGTCATAGACCTACATCAAAAACTCAGTCATTTCAGATCAGGTACAGGTAGGTAAACACACATACAGACATTGTCATAGACCTACATCAAAAACTCAGTCATTTCAGATCAGGTACAGATAGGTAAACACACATACAGACATTGTCATAGACCTACATCAAATACTCAGTCATTTCAGATCAGGTACAGGTAGGTGAACACACATACAGACATTGTCATAGATCTACATCAAAAACTCAGTTATTTCAGATCAGGTACAGGTAGGTAAACACACATACAGACATTGATGATAAGTTTGCAGAAAATAATGAAAAATGAGTTTTGGGTGAGTCACGTACGTGTGAATATAAAATCTGCAGGTTAAAGACAGATAGTAAGCATATTAATCTTGATGATATTACAGAAAGATTTTTTTCATCAATGAAGAAACACTCTTAGATGAGGTGTGATTTGGTGAAACGAAAATAAACATATACAGTCTCAAGATGTTGGATGAGAGCACACACAACAAAAAAGCCCACACACTCCAACTACAATTTAAACAACTTACCAGTACTCTGCTGTAATAAACAATTTGTTAAAAAAAATGAAATATTGAACATTGTGATTTAATTCTTGACCCATTACTTTTTTTCTTACATGTATTTAATATTTCTTAATACTGTTTGCAATTGCAAATATATGACAATGAAGGCATCTTTTTTAACACATTTACCAGAAAGAAAATGTTATTTGCAATACTTAGGCAAAATATCAACAAAACAATCATTCTTTTACCTTCGAAAGTTTCCTCTATGGCACTAATTTCAGATGTATCGAAATCAGTCATAAAATATTTTGGACTCCATGCAACATTCCATCCTTTAGCAAATGCAGTCCTCTCATTATTGACTTCTTCGTTTCATCTGCAGTAATGAAGCAGCCAACAATAGTGTAACCAACATTGGTGTTGACACATACAAAAATGCTGGTAGGTCATATTTTGTAGTTTTGTATGTTGCATCCAACAAACAGATTTCTTGACCATATATATTGAGTAATCTTTTTTGCCATTCTGTCTGGCCAACAAAGAGGAAATCTTCAGTTCTGTAATAAATTTTCACAACAGTATTAATTCAAAAATAAAAAGATTTATCTTTAAAATTCTGATGACACCTAGAAGTAAAGTTAGACATATATTTTATACATGTAATAGTTGTTATGTTGTACATTTCTTTTACCACGTGATGTTCATTTCTGTTTATCAGTACAAATATTGGTGATATTTGAGAACTTCTTCATAAGATGAGAGAGTTGTAGTGATTTAAAATGTTACATCTTTAAATAAATATGAACAAGATGTGTTTGTGAAACATTATGCACCTGTCAGTAACAAAGTTTGAAAAAGATAGTTTTAGCATAAAGGTCAAAGTTAAGGTCACAAGGTCATTGATCTTGGTGTCTTTTGAAAGAACTTATTTAGTGGAGTATAAATACCAAATATGAAGTTTCTATCTCTCATGGTTCCAAAATTATGGCGAAAGTTTGAAAATGCTATTTTTAGCATATAGGTCACAGTCAATGTCACAAGGTCATTGACCTTGAATGCCCTTGATGTAATTTGAAAGAGCTTTATTAGTGAAGTATGCTTTCTAAATATGAAGTTTTCTATCTCTACTGCTATTTTTAGCATATGGGTCATAGTTAAGGTCATCAGGCCATTGAACTTGATATCATTTGAAAGAGCTTAATTTTTGGAGTATGCATACTAAATATGAAGTCTTTATCACTCATGGTTCAAAAGCTATGGTGAAGGTAAAAGTTGACAACAGACAGACAGACAAACAGACAGGAGAAAAACAATATATGCCCTTGGCGCATAAAATCAGACAGATGCCTGTCAAGTATACTTTTGCTATTAAGTTGCTTTGCAAATTCTCAATATACTTTACTAATGAAATTCAATTAATAATGATTGAAAAAAGAATCCATTCACATACTCAGAGATATAAAGATAGAAGCTGTCTTTTTCATTCATGGACTTATATTTCTCCAACAACTGCTCAAGATTTTCTTTATCATCCTTGGAAAATCTAAAATAGAAATGAATCAAAATGTTTTAAAAACAAGTACACATCATATCTCCTTCTTTCCTTGCATGGCTTTTAAATCAATGAAGCATTAGTGCTAGTAATACATGTACTAGTTAAGGTTAGTGAATTTTATAAATGTCTGGCTATAATATATAACCTAACCTTGTTTGGTTTTTATATGAGTCCATAACATTTCTGATGTCTTTATCTAATGGATAGAAGCGTCTATTCTGTGTGGATGTCTTTCCAAGATCTTTTTTACTAAAACTCTTCAGATGACGCTTCATTTCGGCTACTTTGGTGACGCCTTCATCCATTAGACATTGGATTTTTTTCTTTATTACTTTGTCGACAGGCTGACAAAACCCTGCAAGCTAAAGAATAGGAAAAACACACTTTAAAGATGAAATAACTATAATGACACCAATATACTTTAAAGAGGTCAAAATATATATTCAAAATATATCACAAAAACAAATTTTTATATGTCAATTATTTTAAATACTTGTCCAGTAACATGATTCCTATGATCATCATGGGAAGGAAAAAGTATATGGATCTCCTCTTTCCATGCCACTTTGTTCTTCTTATCTTTAAGGGCTGCTTTAAGTCTCTGTGACTGGTCTTTTCTTTTCCAAATGGAGTCTGGACCATTGATCTGATAATATAAAATCATACAGTTGCTTTTTTTAAAAGTAACCAAAGTACAAAAGTATGCTAATATTAAAAATGATTACTGTCGATATTCTATGCTAATCATTATCTGTGTAATTTCTATATGAAATGTGTTTGTGACACACTGATAAAGATGCCCCCTTAATATGGCAGCTTATGACAAGGGTTGAAGTTTCTAAAATGTGTAACGTTTTTCTCTCTATGGGGTGTTTGTTTCTACCCGCGTCACAAAATATTGTGGATCCCGTGTATAAATTCTGGAACTCTAGATCTTTATAGATCTAACATAAGAACAACGACAAAGTTCGTTTCAACGAGTGTATTAATAATATCCAAGAGTAGTTTTATAAATCAAATCCAAGCTATGTATATCATTACTCACTAACTCTCTCTCCTTATATACCTTGTCTGACACCTAACGTGATTTAGGGCACCTAGTTAGGGCGTTAGGCTCCATCGTTAGGGCACCTGTTAGGGCGTTAGGCTCCATCGTTAGGGCACCCTGTTAGGGCAATCGGCTCCATCATTAGGGCACCTATTAGGGCAATCGGCTCCAAGTATTAGGGCCTCTGCACCATTGTTAGGTGTCAAGACACTTGATACATTTAGGGCATCTGATAAGCGCCATAATTAGGACACTAATTAGGCTCCAAGATTAGGGCACTAATCAGGTACCATGATTAGGGCTTATCAGATAAACAAAATTCTGATCTCTGTTTTATTTATAACAATAACATATTTTTATATAAAACAAAAACATTACATTGGTCCCTCCTTTTGAAATATGACTTCCACTGTCATCAATTTTTAAAACATGAACATGAATTATACGTATAAAATCAAATTACACAAAAGCCAAACAATCAATAAAAAGACAAAAAAGTAAAACAACAAAATTATATCAAATAAAAATGTCACTGGATTAAATCAAAAGTTCATCTCACTGGTAGCTTCACATTGGTCTTTGGATTTCCCCGGCCTTATTTTAAGCACTTCCTCTTCCAACTTCTGTTTTGGGTTTTAGGCCGTATAAAGTTGACTGACACCTGGATTGGGTTGCTCAAAACTCTGGTTAAGGTTAACCGTTGGTTAAATCTCTTATCCAGTGGTTAACTTTTAACCGTTGGTTAAATTCTGTTGCTCAAAATTTTTCCACTGGTTAACTTTGCTATCCAGTTGTTAAATATTGGCTAAAGTTAGCCATTCCACAGAGGTGGGTTAAGTCTCTTAACCAGTGGATAAATATGACTAAAAAATTATTATTTGTTGTAAATTTTGGGAGATAACAAAAGAAACAAAGGCTTATAGATATTGTAACCAAGAATTTAATGTTGATGAATACTTAAAAAGACATATGCAGTAATATAAAGTCAAGTTGACGTGGTTTTGTAGCAATATTAGGCAGGAATAACATCACAGTCAGGGATATGATAGGTTTTTATGTCTTCATCGTCAGTAGAAATGTTTTAAATGGGTTCTTTCAAGGATTAATCTGTTGGCAGTCAAAGGATCTTATCAAGCGGCCTTCCCTTGCTGAAAAATAAATAATTATTATATGTATATTTTAAATAAAAATTATAAATGAATAAAATTGTTGGTCATTTGCATATAGGTCTAATAATGGATATATATAAATTGTTCTTTGGTTACCATACAACAGTATTTAAAATCAATTGAGAATTGACCCCCTCTCTCTCCCCCCCCCCCCTCTGACACACACACTCCTCTCCCTTTTTTAAAGATCTTGCAGTATGTATTTGTTTTTCAAAATAATATTAGTTATCATTTCCTTGCCGATATTTTTATCTGCCTTTCTTGTTGACTGCTGCATTAGATTTTAAATGCGTACCATTTCCTTGATTTTATTATCATTTTGGCAAGGTCTCGGTGAGATAAAGTGAATAAAAATATTTATTCAAAATTAAATCTAGCATTAAATTCTAAATATCTATCCATAGGCATCAGGATTTTTTGTTTGTTTGTTTGTTTTTTTTTTTTGTTTTTTTTTTTGCAAAGATAGACTTGATATAGGCTTTGAAAATTGGGGTTACCTTTTTTCAATTTGTTGGTTTAGCCCCCCTCCTCTACGCAGTACAGTTAAGGTGCGCAATGGAAATATTGACTAAATTTTGTATTTAAAAATGTATTTGTAATCGGGATGGCGATTATTTTTAGTACATTATTTATATCAGATAATTGTAATTATGATTAATAACTACATATCGAGGACGATTATATTTTATATTTAGACTAGTCACGTGATGCGGCAGTCAGGCGATTTTAGCACATTGACTTGAAGTATTGATGTTACATATAAACATCACTAGTGCAAGGGCATAATCAAGTTAAATTTCCAAGTTTAGTATATAAATATTTTCAACACGCATTGTTGTTTCTAAAAAGTGCTGCGATCCTGTCTAAATTCTGCAATTTCATTGTTAAAATTAATCTTGAATGACCGAATGCTGTATTTTTTGCTGCGCAGCGGCATGAAATATTGAAGTAATTAAATTATTTTTAAGATTTCATCAGGATCGCAGCACTTTTCAGCTGCCTTATTACTTCTAGAGCTGAATAGTAAAAGCTTACTATGATCCATTGAGTGAAAGCCCTTGCACTAGGTCGATTTATTAAGACCCTCACGTTACCCTCCGACGTGCTTGCATACAAATATACGGCAGTGTCGATTAAATACGTAATATACAGAAAATATATTATTAAAATAGTGAAGAAGACATTAAATCTAAGTTATTGGCCCATGGAATATCTGTAAAAAATATTTTATTCAATTAGAGAATACATATTTTTTTGAGAAAATAGTACTTGATCTGTTTCTCACTGCATACAAACTACGTCACGGTGTAAGAAATGACGTCATATTGACAAGTGTATTGCGATCAGTGATTTGTTTATAACTTGTTATGTGGGATTTAACTAACGACAAAACAGCACGCTGTAGTAAGTTTTTATGTAGTTTGATGATTTCTTACTGGTTAAATTAACAGATAAACTCATTTTGTGGTATTTTAAAGAAATGTTGTATGACGTATATTGTGTATGATGTCATAGTCAAGTTTTCCCGTACAAATTAGGCCCCGCCTCCTTTTTGTAACCTTAACTGTGCTGCGTACCCCTACCCACATTCAGTTAGCTACTCTACTTTCACAATGCTTCCGATGCATATGCTATCAATATCTTTGTAAAGATTTTGATCTAATTTCTACATATATATTGATGCTAATATTAAAAGGTGTTGTATTTGTAAAATACACTTGGGATAATGCATTTTAGTTACACCGCAAAATTTAATTGTACGGAGCGAAATGCATTAGTGACGAACTCGCTATATCTACTTCCATATTCCATCATGACCTTTCTGTAATATTTAAAAAAAAATGCTACCCACTTTCAGTGTAAGTGCATTGTGATGCAGGATTACATAAATGTGATGAAAGTTATTTCTTGTTTGGAAATATTTGACAAACCACTGGACTGAGATCTTTCTGTCAAGGTATGTATAAAAGCGATAATACAACAAGTGCGAATTTCCTCGAATAATAGCTGACGACGTTTAAATGGTGTAAACAGTAAAGGTGTCCTGACTCCAATCAAATATTATTTAGGTATGAAACGATACAAATTGATGTATTTGCCTCGTAATTATAGCTGTCTTGAGTAGGTATTGTTTTTAAAATACTTTCTGTAAAACTAAGATCTAACAGCTTAACAAGCATCTAGGTTTCTGCAATCATTCTATCCATCTTACCTGTGGTGCTAATCCTTTACCATTCTATGTGTTTACAGTAACTGCATCCTCCACTTGAATTTTCAGCAAAGAATAATCCCAGCTGACTTGTGTGTTCCTCACTTTTTGCGACTAAAGCGTTTGTTTAGTTTTGATACTGTTACATATCGATATTTCTCCACTTCTCCACATACGGTTGTAACGTTAAAACGTCTCACTATTTACTTATTTGATATTTACCATGGTAGCCATTTTTTGGGGTTGACAACTGGACAAGTGTAATGCATTGTGGGATACTAACCAGTGGTTAAATCACTTAACCTGTGGTTAGTTAACCAGAGGCTAATTTTATTTTGAGCAACAAATATTTGACCAGTGGTAAGTTACCCAGTGGAAATAGAATTTAACCAACGGCTAACTTATCCAGTGGACAAATTTAACCAGTGTTTTGAGCAACTCAATCCTGGCCTCTGGCATCAGTCATCTTAGTTTAAATAATTCCATACAGCTCCCTTTTCAACACAATTTTGGTCTCGAGAACTGTTACTTGGTTGAAATCCTCCTCCTTCTCTCTGGTTCCATGGGTTGTAAGGGCGTCCCCTACTCCCTGGTCCTGTACTGGTACAAGTACTTGGGGTTCTCATGTTTTTATAGATACTGTTGAATCCGTCACCCGCGCTTGGAGGTTTGGCAGTATCCGCAGCTGCTATTTCATTATTCCATTCCCCATCTTCAACCTCATACACAGGTCTGTAGCCTGGTTTGGTCTCCTTTATCAATTCTTTTTCCCCAATTCGTAAGCATTCTTCTTGCATCGCATTAAGAACTGCTTCTTGGAGTGTCCTGGGTCTGGTCCGTTTCACTGCGAGTCGAAAATCCTCAGATTGCCCACATTTATCTAAGAAGGTCTGTATAGCATTGTCTTCCACTAAATCTGGATTTCCTGGATAGGCTCTTCGGTAAAGATCTTCGATGGCCTGCCCAAAATCTTGCAAGGACTCACCAGGTCGTCTCTTCCTTAATTTGACATCTGCAATATACATGTATCTTTCTTTCATTGCAGAATGCCCGAATCTTTGATTCATTTTATCCTTAAGTTGCTCATAATCTTTTTGTACAGTAAGGGGCATTCCATAAGCATAGCTCTCGGCTTGTCCTCGCAAGGTGCTAAGCAAAACTCTGCGAGTTTTACTCGGGTCCCCATGAGTTTAATTCTGAGATGTTTTCAAAATATTGTAGAAACTCATCCCAAACATCATCATTGGCCCCTGAGAAGGTCCTCCTTACTGGATATTCATTGGTTCGTTGACCAGCATTTGGTGTCGTAAGACTGTTTGTAGGTGTCCCATCAGTAGTAGGAAATTCAAAATTGTACCCAAGTCCCTGAGGAGACTGATTACCCAAATAAGGAGTAGTGCGTCCAGATTGCCCAGAAACTTTGGGTTCCTGATAGGTACCTGTAGGGGCATTCGGTGCACTACCACCAGTATAGGGTATATCATTAGGTATCAAAATTTCCCTTTCCTTACTGGCATTCAGCAGACCTGATCCTCCATACTTCCATAATACTCTGATTATCATAGCAAGTAATACCATACTTGTTACGGATAACAGAGAAACTACTGGAATTTCTTGAGATTTCTGCACAATCTCATTTTCTGGAAAATAGGTCCATGTCATCACTGTCAGGGAACATCCTATCAAGGTAAAGAGTACCCAAATAAATAGGATTCTCTTTAAGCTTGGTCTTGGATTGTGCTCGTCTTGTACAGAAAGGCCCTGCGAGCTTTGCCCGAACTCCTGAAAGTTAGAACTGTCTGGCATTACTCGACTTGTGAGCTGCAAATCTGTTGTACACCCAGAATTGACCTCTATTCCAGAGTCATTCAGAGGAGTTGGACTGTCAAGGTACTGTCCTACCTTTCTAGGCGTAACTCTCCTCCTTATGATGGGTGTCTCCATTTCAAACTCAGTGCTGTCCCGTTCCTGTGTTACACGTAGAATAATTTCTTTGGATCCCACCGCTGCCACCAATTGTAACGTTTTTCTCTCTATGGGGTGTTTGTTTCTACCCGCGTCACAAAATATTGTGGATCCCGTGTATAAATTCTGGAACTCTAGATCTTTATAGATCTAACATAAGAACAACGACAAAGTTCGTTTCAACGAGTGTATTAATAATATCCAAGAGTAGTTTTATAAATCAAATCCAAGCTATGTATATCATTACTCACTAACTCTCTCTCCTTATATACCTTGTCTGACACCTAACGTGATTTAGGGCACCTAGTTAGGGCTCCATCGTTAGGGCACCTGTTAGGGCGTTAGGCTCCATCGTTAGGGCACCCTGTTAGGGCAATCGGCTCCATCATTAGGGCACCTATTAGGGCAATCGGCTCCAAGTATTAGGGCCTCTGCACCATTGTTAGGTGTCAAGACACTTGATACATTTAGGGCATCTGATAAGCGCCATAATTAGGACACTAATTAGGCTCCAAGATTAGGGCACTAATCAGGTACCATGATTAGGGCTTATCAGATAAACAAAATTCTGATCTCTGTTTTATTTATAACAATAACATATTTTTATATAAAACAAAAACATTACAAATGCAAGTAAAACTCCAAGGTCGAAATTGCTGGTATCCAAAAGAAGGTCCTTTAGCAAGGAATACACCTCTGAAATATAAAAACCCTAGCATGAACTATTCACAAGTTATGGCCAAGGTAAAGTCTCTTTTAAAAGTGGGTGAAAATCTAAAGTCAGGGTTACCACTGAAAGGTTTTGTAACAGTGTATACACCTTAACCTATGATGTAAATAGTAATGTATTTAACTAAAGTTTGAAACCCATCATGTTTTTTTTCAAAACTCAACGGTATAAATTGAATGTGATTATAATGTCAATCGATTATGACGTCACTATCAAACTGCGTAGATCGATTATGCCAAACAATCAATTTTTGGTCACATGACGAACTTGTTTTATGGAAATGTAAAAACGCCTTGTTCAAATAGTGATATATAAGGGAAAACATTTGCAAATGTTAATATTAAACTAGATACGACCTCGTTGCGAGCAACGAGAGGTCTTCCGTCCGTTTTAGGAAAAGAAACCCAAGTAAAATCGAGCTGAAAAGAGATTCAAAATTTTTGTCACAAGGAGCATTGAACCCATGTCGCTATCGTGAATGCGTTTTTTTTTTACCTTTTTAATCCCCGACGCGCTAACCATTAAGCTATTGGGAGTACTGCTCTAAACATACTTGTGTATACTTTTGCAACAGTTCACCTATCTAAGAATTATAAAAAGCATTCATAATTTCGCGCCAAACGCCACGAGTAAATATTCGCGCCTTTTCTTTGGACTGATCTATTTAATAGGTATGATAGCTTCAATTAAATTTTAAAAATAAAACATTCTTAGCGCCTTTATTTTATTTCGACGTTAAGAAAGTATATGTAACACATTATACACATTACATATCGTATCTAGCCCAGTTACACGAAAGCAGTGAAACGGAAATTAAGTTTTAAGATTGACACTCAATTGCAACTTATTACTGTAACGTGTCGGACCTGAGCGGTCAGTAGGTCCGTGCTCGGATTACCGAGTTTTACTGGGGATATGATTGAATGCAATATATACAGATAATAATATGACACCTGCCTGGTGTCTTTAAATCAAATGACCTAAGTGCTTTGTACAATTATATATCTTCAGTTAATACCGGCAACTGCCTGGTGCCATATGACAATTGCCTTACTATACAACTGACTATATAAGTCAACAGCCACCTGCTTGGTGCCTCTTGATTTAGCCATTAACACCTGCCTGGTGTCTTACTGCTTACCAAGTTGCCTATATAACCCTAGCCAAGTAAGAGCTTCTCTGTCCTAATGACAAACCAATAGCTAAAGTCACACGCTATATTTTAACTATTCACTGACTACGCAAACTCTGCACAATCCGATTTGATCGATACACTAATTGGTTTCTGTTCCAAAGTGAAGACACAAGCCAATAGGCTGTCCTGCTACCTTCTACCTCAACTTAATCAATGATAATAAGTTATCAGATATCATATTGATAAAATACAACAGACTGCCTTTCTTTTTGCAACACTATTATCATTTTCTAACAGAACATCATTTATCAATAATACTTGTATAATTCTTTTGTCAATTGACCAATTAATTACACTATTTACATCGATTATCTATTATAATATAAACAAGTAACGGGAGGTAACTCCTCCAACCATTTCACTACTACGTGAGAGTCGAAGTAGTTTCTTGCATTTCATGTATCCTTATGTCAGAATGGTATAATCAAACGCTCAGCTGCCTCCATAAGCCCCTACTCGCGAAATGTCGGAGTAAACAGAGACAGCCGCCATCTTGGGCCCGCTTCAGATTTTCAAATATTAATATCTAGAGTTCAGATTAACCAATATTGAAACAACTTATATAGTAAGAATCAATAGAAGTGTCTCTATTAATATTCCAAAAATAAATGAAAAATATTGAAAAACAAAGAAAGTTGAAAATTTGGACTTTTTGAATTGGCTTCCGGTAGCGACAGGAAGTACTGACGACGAACGAAAAGTTGCGTCCTGGAAAGTATTGATCATCATCTATAAACTCTGAAAGTTTCACATTGATATCTTTTACCGTTTTTGAGTTTAATCGTGGACAAAATGTCGTTTTAAAATCAGGAAAATGGTCCAAAACTTGGCACCAGAGAGGAATTTCCAAAAACTGTCTTGGAACTTTCAAGAGTATCTTACAACACATCTTTCCTGAAAATTTCATGTAATTCTATCCAGTAGTTGTCGAGAAATCGTGTCAGAAAAATAATAATAATAATAATAATAAGAAACAGAGCAATAACTATAAGGTCTTCCGTGAAGACGGAAGACCTTAATTATGTGTTTTGGCACATTTTATATATAGTGAATGATATTATACTGTATAAGCAGAATTTTTAGCGATGATTTAATGTTTGCATTATTAGCAAGGTCGTTGAAATCACTCAGATGGAATATTGCTTCACCAGTAAATTAATTGTGTTTTATTTTAAAAATCTTCTCTAGTAGGCATTTTAAAATCACTATAATTACTTCTTACTAAAAATAAAGTACCAATTTTTAAGGAGGAAATCACTTAATTTGTACAGTATTTCATTTACCAGTCTAACCAATTACATATTGCTTTACAGTTCTCCTTTCTACTTTTCATCTTCCAAAAATTTTCTGAGAGTTAGTAATAGTTAGATCATATTAAATAAAATTTTTAGTGGTTAACAAGGGACGGAGGGAGCGAAGTGACCGAGACCCATTCTTATCCAATAAAATTTTACTTAATATGATCTAACTTACTTAGAACCTATTGCGCCTTTTCATTGGCTTATTAGTCAGCCCGCCTAGTTACAAGAAAAAGAGGGTTAGGTTCTAAATGTAGTTTGAATTTTGTAACATAAAAAACTTGAAATTCTTTTACATTATAGCACAAATAGTGGTGCTTCATATGCTAACAGTATATACGAGAAAACAGAAGCAGTTACTTATTTATATATTACCTTATATTCTGGAAAAATACAAATTCTTTTGGAGTGAATTCTCGCAGGACAATCCTGCTTCTTGGTGTTTTGCAGCAACGTCCTGCCTTTTTGTGTGTAGGAATGGTCTTTTTTTCCTTCCAAAGTCTAGAAATAAAAAATTCCCCATTAGTTATACAGTTTCATATAAACCATTTTCTTATGAAGACATTAATATAATCAGTGTTTTCCCTTTATTTCAAAGTAAAGGGTTAGAGATCAATTGAAACAGGCCAAGGGCTGATGTTTAAGAACAAAATATCTGTGGAATTTACAAAAAAAATTTATTTCAATGCGGCCTTTTTGTTAATTGAAATGGTCAATTTGGCCGGTAGCCGGTTCTTAGGGAAAACACTGATAATAGCTGATAATCATGATAGTACACTTTGGGAATACACAGAAATTAAACTGGCTATATCTATGTATGCTGTGTACCAAACAGAAAAAAAAATGTTTCTATACAATACCATATTTTTTTTTATAGATATGGTAGATATAATGAAATTTTATTCCCATTCTATCATTGGAAAGGCTTTGTCAATTAAATGCATAATCATTAAGAGGACTGAATATCTAAATATTTATCTTATAGTACTTGAACTATTGTCATGTATAGATTTATTTCATAAACTTTAATTTAGCTTCAACAAAAGTTAAAATTATAGCATTGAAAAAAAATCAGTCGATACCCAACTCTATATTTTGTGTATAGAATTTAAGACACCTTTTCCAACTGATACTTCTGCTTTTGCTTCACATTTCGGTCTGGACCAAACTGACACTCTCGTACATCCCATCCTAATATTATAAAAGGGGTTCCATTGTACTGAATCTTTGGTCCTTCCCCACGACTAACATCTTCCCATTTTACTTTGTGTTCAGCTAAGCCTGTTAGTAAAATAATATGCAATGAATGGTATTTTCTTAATTAACATTATTTTCTTAATAATAATTATACTCCAATAACTTGTTTGAATAATTTTTTAACACTCTGAATATTACACTGTTACATACAGTAAACATTTTCTTTACAATAAAACATACTGAATAACAAAAGAGACTTGCCGTTTATGTCTTTTCTGAATCCCTTATTCCGACGAAATATAGTAAAAGTTGTTACTGTCTCAACTTCAAAATCCGTTATTCGTTTTTCAGCGTCATCGAGAGATGTGACAACAACGTGAGGCGAAGCTTCAGCCATTCCGTTACTGTAATTTGATACTGCATGTGTGCATGATGTACATGCAGATGATAAATAATTATTTTCGCAACCAAGGGTCACATAAATCAATTAAACATTCACATATCAACATATCATATATGACGATTCATACCCTGTTCAAACATGCTTTCAAAATGTTGACTGAATTCATAATTGACAGAAACCCTCCAAAGTAAAGCTGGAATTATTTGTTGCCCGAACCCGATGTAATTATCTAGAGGTGTTCCGAAAAGCGACCTCCCTGTAAGTGATCCACCAATGTGTCATCTCCCGAGGGAGATGACAATAAATCTCTTGAATGGCTTACATAACAATTTTGGGTGTACTTATATCTAAAAACATTTTGAAATTAATGTAACTATTTTTTACATAATACCAAGAGAAACAGGACATATATTTGAGGAACGTGTCGTCTGACCTTAAGCTACAAGAATTAAATTTTGTTGAAAACTTTTCAATACATAACCAAATATTACAAATTACATGTACAGGGTGTCCCAAAACATATGTTATACTATTAAATTGTTATAAAAATTTTATGCCTCACGTTATATGAATAAAATCTAAGATACATAATAAAATTGTTATGAATTTTCTGTCAAGCAAACATGTGTCACAATTTCCTTATTTGTTATCAATACTTTTTGTTTAGAATAACATATGTCATTTTACATCTTCTAAATGAGGTCCCATTAAATTAATACTGTTTGAACACGATTTGTGTTTATTTTATTTTATGATGTTAGTTTCAAAAGCTATTAGGAGAATCTTACATAAGAAAACTAGATGGAAAATATTGTAGTGTGTTTTCAGTTATGAATTTGAATGCCTTATATAATAATAAAAATATAAGTAAAGTGTAAGAACTGAATTCAAATTTTTCACAATTTATTACCGAAAACTAGAAAATAAAAAAATTACACAGAAAAAATAAAATAAAGATTTTTTACTCAATTTTTTTCGTTGTGGTCTTTCATGTGAAAAAAAAACTTCCAAACGCTGATTTAAAATATTTTGATGCTTTTCATCAAGATAAGGTGATTATTTATCAAGCACATTCTCATGTTGAGAATTTGTTCGAGATATTACTCAATAACGTGATATTGAATTTGTGAATTACAAGAATTTGTCATTGAAGTAAAGGTACTTAAACAAGTTTCCTCACACAAAAATAAGGTACCTTGCCTAGTATTTGGACAAGATACCACAGGGTTATTTTTTTTATAACCCTTATGGATAATATCTTGAATGGATTACATAACAATTTTGGGTGTACTTATATCTAAAAACATTTTGAAAACAATGAAGAAATCAGAAAGAATGATAAATATATAACTATCTCTTTTTTTTTTTACATAATTTCAAGAGAAACAGGACATATATTTGAGGAACATGTCGTCTGACCTTAAGCTACAAGAATTAAATTTTGTTGAAAACTTTTCAATACATAACCGAAGTGTTACAAATTACATCTACATTACTCTGTCACATGTGTAATTTTATTATGTATCTGACACATTATTGCATTAAAATTCTCTATAAAAGGAAGTATTGAACAGGAGTTATATTCATTATCGATGCGATATTCTAATGTCAGTAATGACTGGTTCTCTGAGTCTCGTTTTCCTTCTGGTTGTCTGCTTCGCTGTTGCTGCTTCAGATGACCACCTTCACCCCAATATTAATGTGGCGTATGGAAAGTCGGCGACTCAAAGTTCCGATTGGAATTCTGTATTAAATCCAGCATCGAATGCTATAAATGGTGACCTAAGAGACTCCTCTGCTACCAATAAATTAAAGAAAGATCCCCATGGCTGCGGATTGATCTTGGAAGGAACTATGAAGTTCACGAAATAGAGGTCTTTACCAGACCAAACTGCTGTGGTAAGTAATCAACAATTAGATATTAAACACTCTAAAAGTTAGTTAAATATAGTTTTGAGAAGTTTTTTTTCAGGAAATTTAATGTTCAAAGCGTTGAGACTACAAACTTATATATATATATTCATATATATATGAAATTTTGAAACTGCATTTTCTTAATTATATATATATATACATAAGAAAAAGAAAATGCAGTTTCCAAATTTCCTTTAACACAAGCGCTTCCTGGATTTCATAATCCGTACATAAATGGAACTGATTGTTTTATTTGGTAACGTTTACCATGACGTCATTTTCTTATTTCTAAAGTAAAAATAAAAAAAAAGATTGTAAATGCATTAGAAGTATTTTTTCCCTCTGTTTTGTATTTTTATTGTATCATCGTATTTTACATACAATATAGGTGGTCGACTTCACAACGTAGACGTCAGAGTTGGTAAAACAGCGAATTTCAATGATACGGTCTTATGCGGTCATTTCCAAGGACCTGCACACGTTGGAGAAAAGTTTTCTGTATGGTGCCCTTCTGAAACAGTTGGAAGATATGTACAGATACAGATCATGGGAGGATCAGAGACTCACTTAGACCCGGCAGAGGTTGCTGTTTGGGGACATTTGTAATTCATCAAAGAAAAATCAATAAACTAAATTTGCATGAAATGTGAAATTCTTATATTAATTTTTTTCAGTTCAATATCAATCATGATAATTGAATTTGATAAGAAAAACAAGAGGCCCATGGGCCGCATCGCTCACCTGAGCACTGTGGCTAGGAAAAAGTAGAAATGGGTTTATTATTGAAAAGCTTAAATCTTAAAGTTGTCCCATGACCAATCATGGCTTTGCTATTCTTGACAAGAAGATTTTTAAAGAATTTTCCTCTATATTTCTATGTAAAACTTTGGTCGGCCATTGTGGCCCCGCCCTACCCCCGGGGGTCATGATTTGAACAAAATTGAATCTACACTACCAGGACACTTCCATATAAATATGATCAATTACGACTTTACTATTCTTGAGAAGATGATATGATTTTTAAAGAATTTTCCTATAAATTTTTATGTAAAACTTTGGTAGGCCATTTTGGCCCCGCCCCTACCCCAGAAGGTCATGATTTGAACAAACCTTGAATCTACACTACCTGATGCTTCTATATAAATATGACCAATCATGGCTTTGTTACTATTGAGAAGATTTTTAAAGAATTCCTATATAGTTCTATGTAAAACTTTGGTCGGCCATTGTGGCCCCGCCCTACCCCCGGGGGTCATGATTTGAACAAACCTTGAATCTACACTACCTGAGGATGCTTCCATATAAGTTTTATCTTTCCTGGTACGGTGGTTCTTGAGAAGAAGATTTTTAAAGAATTTTCCTATATATTTCTATGTTAAACTTTGGTGGGCCATTGTGGCCCCGCCCTACCCCCGGGGGTCATGATTTGAACAAACTTGAATCTACACTACCTGAGGATATTTTCCTATAGGTGTCATCTTTCCTGGCAGAGTGGTTCTTGAGAAGAAGATTTTTAAAACATGCCACCAAATTTTTATTAATTCCCAATTATCTCCCCTTGAATGAAGGCTTGGCCCTTCATTTGAACAAACTTGAATCCCCTTTATCCAAGGATGCTTTGTGTTGCAAGTTTGGTTGAAATTGACCCAGCGGTTCTTGAGAAGAAGTCGAAAATGTGACAGACAGACAGACAGCTGGACGGACAGACGGACTACAGACAAAATGTGATCAGAAAAGCTCACTTGAGCCTTCGGCTCAGATGAGCTAATAAGGACGATTTTATCCATTATTGCCACACTTTTTTTCTTTTAACGCTCTAAATACCATTTATAAGAGTGAAGAGAATCTGTCTCATTAGACAGTGGAGTATTGTATGCAAACAAAGAGGTAATTACTTAAAACTGAAAAGAGCAGAAATGCAGTTTAACTATAAATAATAAAAAATGGAATAACAAGCAATCAAGGAATAAATAAATTCAAGAATGAAAATATAAATCACTCAAACTTGCACGCAACTTTTTACGTCAAACACCGTTCAGGCCCGATGGCTGGTTGCGTTTCATTGACGATAGAGGGATGAAGTGATTGGGATGTGGCGAGAGCCTCGAGTCATTCATTTCGTTTTCCAACAACTTCCATCAAATTCACAGTAATGAGGTCATCAATACCGGTATTAAAAATTCATTTTTATTTTTTTTGAAAAATTAAATGAATGTACCTAAAAAGAGTGGGACATTCTTATGTGCCTGGCGACACTTTTAACACGTACCTACAGTTAACATATATACGTATAATTAAGGAATCAAAGCCTAGTTAGTATAGTATGCCAGGGCATCAATGATAGTAGGAAACATGGGATAATTTTGCATAACTGTCGAAGTCCGCTATGCATAAATTATCCCATGTTTCCCACTATCTTTTATGTCCCTGGCATACTATACTAACTAGACAGTGATTCCTTATAGTATATTTCAATCCAATCAAAAAAAATTGTAGATTTAGACTTTAAATTTGTAGACATAGATTTAAATTACACGAGGACTCTCATACCAATTCCAATAGTCCTCATCCTTTGACATCAAAAACAAAGACAGCCGCACGAGATCTACATGCATATCTGGCCTCCTTAGCGTCAAACACAGAGACAGATTCGCACGAGATTTACTAGCATATTAGGCCACCTTCGCTCCTGACCTATCGACCTGCTGAATTTATATTCCTATAAATTATCAAGAAATCAACTCCGCTAACTCTCAAAGAGTTATCACAAAGAAAAAAGTAAGGATGAAAATAGTGATTGTAATAGACTGAAATAATAAGGATACAGATTATAAGTACGATTATGTTGGATTGTAAAGAAATGTTTTGCAACTTTCATGATATGACATTAGCTTTACCGTTGTTATTTTCACATTATGACGTCAAATTACATAAGGGCCCTTTCCGCATTGGATTTCATTGGATGGCTCCATGCTACAGAGAAGAGCTGTTGTTCAGTGTATGTAATCAAGCATGGCAGTTGACGACGAGGCAGTTTTGATTTATGAATAAGGATATAAATAATTTATTTTCGATATATAATGACTGAAGAACATAACTTACAACGCTTTGCAAAGTTTATCCTTATATATATCTTATAAATTGATTAATGTCATAAAACATAAAGAACCAAGAGCCACAACGGTCATCTGAGATAACTTTGGCTTTGATTTCCCGCCCGAAAAAAAAATATTACTCCTTATTTTTTGCCTTTTATGACTCCACTATATACACAGGGGGTGTGATTTGAACGG